CAACTGAAATGTGTGTACAGAAGAGTGAGAAATTATACTATTTCTTCAGTCTACAAATATCAGCTATATACAAGGTAAATCCTACACATAGCAATCTGCACTCATAAGCCATTCACGTGCTTCCCCGAGTACACTGAGTTATATAATTAAAGACAATCTCCTTGTGGGATAGAAATAAATAGGAATAAACTCAATATGTAGCCTTACAGACTATTACATTTAATCCGACTTGCAATGGAAATCGCCAGGGCCAAATTTAGGAGGCTTGGGGGGCACCAGGCTTGGGGTGCTGTTATTGTTGTTAGCATGAGTAAATGCAGATTTACAGATCCTAATGTGCAAATGTATCGTTTTATATGACAGGGATAAATCATGCATGCAAATCGCTCAAAGTCATGAAATGGGCTACAAATGCCATTAAAAATAAGGCATTCAAAATTTTAACAAATGGAGGGTGGGACACTCTTCTGCTGTGGTGCCATCTGGTCTATGGACAGCCATGGAAATCACCCTTGTTTGGCAGTGTGAGCCAAATCTCCCATGTTTGGCAGTGTGAGCCAAATCTAGTGCTAACCACCAATGTATCTTCTATTTACAAAGAAAAGCCATCAACAGCCACAGACCATATTACATCTCCCTAATGAACCAAAGAACACACACAATTAACAAACTAGAAGGGAAAGCCACTTCTCGGGCTAATACTAACCCCAACTGTTCAAAACAAGTTCTCACTGAAAGAGCAACTCTGATAGTTTAAGCCAGTCAAGTCTCTTGTATTCCTTGTTCCACAAAATCAGGGACTGGATGAATTCACAGCCTGAGATGGTATGACTAAAACATGGGAAATATAGTAGATTAAAAAATTATATTTTACCTACAGCACCATGTTTTGAGTCCCAGAGAATTCATTCTATTTAAGATCCAGAAGTCTCAGTTTATCGTTATTAGGCATTTAGCTAATTGGTGGTAATTCCCAGAGTGGTCTTGGACTAAGCCAGTAATGACTCCAGCTTGAAGAGGCTACTGCAGAGATCACAGTTCAAAGCATGCTTACCCCATGCTTCACTAACTTCTAAAACCAGATGTTTCCTGAGTTTGCTATCTAATACTGATCCTTATCATCCCACTACCAAATACACAGAATTCTCAAAAATCTAATGATATTCCATGGCAGGTCTAGCAATGTAATATCTCTTACTGAATGTGCGTATCAGCCTTAAAGCAAAGCACCCTTAAAGAATACAGACTGGGGGTTCACAGCATGCTGCCTCTTTCTTTAAATCAACACTGGATTTTCTATCATTCGCCTTGCTTTTACAGAAGAGCATGCAAAGAAAGATGGGTAACATATGAATCTAACTCATCTACCATTACACATTCAGATATTAGAATCCTATGCACAAGTAAGTCTTCAACAGCTCTAGAGATGACCCAAACTGTTGCTGAATCTTCTGTTCATTCTTTGGGGCCTTCAACAGATCTTCCCCAGTTGCCAGGCAACTGTGATAATATTGTTAGGTTTATGGTAACAGCCATAACGCCTACTTTAAAAAAAATGTACAAAGATAACAATAATGTGAAATAAGATTACTTTCTTTGTGATCAAAAGTATCACCATTTGAATGTTAATGTCTAAAGTTCCTCAGTCAAACCACACAATTCATATAATTGCTGTAAAACGGGTTCTGTTAAAAGTCAGTGTTAATAACAATCCTTTAGAATACCTCTAAAGCATGTGTTATTAGATTCAATTATTTGAATTATTCCAAGTTCTGTACTGAGCAGTTGCAGGAGAAAGAAACGTGTACACAACCCTTTCATTTTATGTAAAGAATTTCTCGGAAAAAACACAGTACAAGCACATCGTGCTTGAAGTTTACTGTGCTTCTTTAAATAGGGCTCCTGGGTATTTTACAATATCTTCCATAAAATTTAAGATGTCCTGGATGGGGAGAAAACAGGTGATGCAAGATACATATATTGCAGGGAAACAACCCTACACTGGAAAGAGAGGAACTAGATGAAAAGAGAACATCTCCACTTCTACAGTTCTATGAAAAACATCTGATTTTATCACTGTATATACCTTAGCCAATGCACAACTCCAACTTGCTTTTAGATACGGGCATGCACATGGCCATCCTTGTCATAAAACTGGCTTCTGCTCACGTCTGTGCATGCAACAACAGGAACATCTTTACGAGCTACGTGACCCCAGGGTCAACATTAAAGGATGGATGGTCCAAGAGCCCACATTCGGATTCCAAGGAAAAGAAACAGGAAGACTGTTCCTGCCTGCTATTCCAACCTTGATACATTAAAAGCCAAAGTAGAGATTCTCTTTTTGTTTCCAGAATCCAGTTATAGGACTTTTGTTATTTTTTCCACTAAGAACCTACAGCATGGAAATATAGATTTCATGTGTACAATTTTATCTACATTTATTTTGTTACATCAGACAATTGGAGGCACGTACAGTGGACGACTAGTCACAATTTCTATACTCTTAAATCGGAGATACTGCAGCTGTTTCCCATTAAAGTACATAGGGGAAACTGCTGCTTCTCAGCTACTACTCTGGGGTAACTGCTGGCAAATGATGAATATTTAAATAGCAACCACAATAATTCCCTCATTCTATTTTAGTGAAAGTTCCAGTGTCACATGGTTTCACCGTTATAAGTTCCTTCCAACTCCCTTTATCAGCAATTTATTGAAGCTTTTTAAAATGATCTTTTTATACACCTTCATCCAATGACCGCAATTTAGGTAAATACAGTGCTCACTAAAAATAAGATATTCCCCAGCAGTTACTTATCTGTAATGTATGAATAACTGTGGTATTTCCCAGAGAGCTCAGATACTATATCTGTCATTAACTGCAGTGTTTTAAGTGCCAACCTCTGCATATTAACTGTAAAATTTTTAACTAACTTAAGCATCAGAGGGGTAGCCAGATTAGCCTGGATCTGTAAAAGTGGCAAAGAGTCCTGTGGCACCTTATAGACTAACAGACGTATTAGCTTTCGTGGGTGAATACCCACTTCGTCGGATGCATGTAGTGGAAATTTCCAAAGGCAGGTATAAATATGCAAGCAAGAATCAGGCTTTAGGGATAACGAGGTTAGTTCAATCAGGGAGGATGAGGCCCTCTTCTAGCAGTTGAGGTGTGAACACCAAGGGAGGAGAAACCACTTTTGTAATTGGCTAGCCAGTCACAGTCTTTATTTAATCCTGAGCTGATGGTGTCAAATTTGCAAATGAACTGAAGCTCAGCGGTTTCTCTTTGAAGTCTGGTCCTGAAGCTTTTTTGCTGCAGGATGGCTACCTTTAAATCTGCTATTGTGTGTCCAGCAAGGTTGAAGTGTTCTCCTACAGGTTTTTGTACATTGCCATTCCTAATATCAGATATTTTGAATTTTTGGGATGTTCAAAATTTGAACTGTCATCCGGATCCCAGTTCTGAGGCACAATCCAAAATCTGTTACTAATAGGGAATGAATGGCGCCCACAGTAAATCTGAGAATTAGGGAGAACAGCCCACATATTAATATTCAGCTGTTTAAAGTTTGGGGAAAGGTTAACAAAATTTAACTTGGAAATTAGAATTGGATTCTTGACTCCCCTAATCTTCAATTCCCATGCATGCCATGCTACTGAGATCCAAAGGCTTTACAAATTTAAGAATACTCATTTTGCATGATTTGAAAGAGAGTGAGAGAGAGACACACAGCAAATTAAATTATGCTTAAGGTCAGCACTCAGTATATGTAACATTGAGTTACCTATAGAGTATAGCTAAGTAAGAAAGAGCTTGCAAAGTTATTAAGTGATACACTTTCATGATGATTTCCCTTGTGCACTGACACTTTGCCATAAAACATATAGCAAACTAAGCAATAATTATGAGGATTGGGGCAGAATGCAAAGATGCTGACTCAACTCACAGTGTTTTAGGGCTAGTGTACTAGATGTGAGAAATGAGAGTGAATAATGGCAGAAAAAATGAACTATAAAACGTACAACATGATAGAGCCTGCATTCCCTGAAGACATTTAATTGTTATCCTTATTTTTAACACTTTGCACCATAAAAACAAACATAACGCTTACTTTGTTTTACACATACTTAAAAGATAAAGCAGTTTGGGGTGGTTGTGTTTTTGTTTGTTTCATTTTTAAGAACATAGCAACACTGTTTCAGTGTTGTAAGCAGGACACAGAAAGTAATTCTTCCATTCTACTGAGCTCTGATAAGGCCTCAACTGGAGTATTGGTTCCAGTTCTGGACACCTCACTTTGGGAAAGAGGTGGACAAATAGGAGAAGTCCAGCGGAGGGTAAAATAAATGATTAAGAGTATAGAAAACGACTTACAAGGAAAAATCTGAAACACTGGGTTTCTTGAGTTTGAAGAAGAGAAGACTGAGGGGGGACGTGATAATCTTCAAGTACGTTAAAAGGTCATTATAAAGAGGAGGGTGATAATTTTTTTTCCTTAACCACTGAAGACAGGTCAAGAAGTAATAGGCTTAAATTGCAGCAAAGGAGATTTAGATTAGACATTAGGAAAAACTTTCTGTCAGGGTAGTTAAGCACTGGAAGAAATTCACTAAGGAGGTTGTGGAATTCCTGTCACTAGAGGTTTTTAAGAACAGGTTAGACAAACATCTGTCAGGGATGATCTAGACAATGCTTAGTCCCGCCTCATTGTAAGGGGGGGATGGACTAGATGACCTATCAATGTCCCTTCCAGTCCTACATTTCAATTATTCTATATTTCAGAAGCTTGGGAAAATTGCAATTGCAACATGGTTTTAAATTATTTATCATCTGCTGCCTTAATAATGCAAACTTCTCATTCAATTCCAGTGATCTGTCTTTCATATATATTTTTCTCTTTAGCACAATGGCAAAACTCTCTCCACAAAGTGAAAGTAAATAGTTACCATAAAATAAAAAGTTAGATGCGACACCCAGTATAACAAGTTGTTTCACATACCTTAAAGCCAAGACAGCAAGGGTCACTGTTTGCAGACACTTTTTCATGAAGGCATATTTCTAGTCTTGAGTGCAGATCTCTAGATTAATCCGCTGCAAAAGAAAGAAATCATTCCATTACATTTCATAAGGAAATCCAAGAAATTGGAGATGGTTCAGGTAACAGCCCTGGGAATGATGAAAGGATTAAAAACCTGCCTTATAGTGATGACAACATACTAGATGTATTTAGCTTAACAAAGAGAAGGTTATGAGGTGACTTGATAATAGTCTATTAGTAACTATATGGAGAACAACTATTTGATAATGGGCTCTTATATCTATCAGAGAAAAGGTATTACAAGATCCAGTGGCTGGAAGTTGAAGCAAGACAGGTTCAGACTGGAAACAAGGCATGCATTCACCACTTGAACACTTTACCAAGGGTTGTGGTGGATTCTCCAACATGGCAATTTTTAAATCAAGCTTGGCTTTTTATTTATTTATTTTAAGATCTGCTCTAGGAATTATTTTGGGGAAGTTTGATGGCCTGTGTTATACAGGAGGTCAGACTAGAAGATCACCAATGTCCATTCTGGCCTTGGAATCCATGAATCTAGTTACCATTATACAGTAGTATTTAGAAACATAAACAAAAGATGCTGTTTCATTGATATCCAAAACCCCACACAAGATATTTTTATCAAGGCTTTGTTACTACTTTTCAAATGGTTTGCATTTAAACAAATGAAGAGGTTTCACTGTACCTGAAGAATTTAGAGCTAATTTTTATTAAAACAAGAAAACAAACAAAAACCTTCTATCGAGCATGATCTAACAAATAGGACCCTGGGTTAAGAGGCAAAGAGGTAGGTTCCATTCCTAGCTCTGTTATTAACCTGCTAAAGAAAGCTGGGCAATCTCTCCGTGCCTTGTTTTCCCCATCAGTGAAATAAAGATAATACTACTTATCTTCCTTTGTAATGTACTCTGAGATCTATGGATTCAAAGTGCTATATCAGCATTATTATTAAGCTTATGCACTGTATATAGTCTTGGTGCTTTCAAAGAGTCAAACCCAGACTAATAGTTTGATCTGCACAGCACAGATGTGCAGCATTACATTTCTAAGCATTATGACTAGGACAGAAAGCACAGGGACCGCAATCTTGCATTAATGACTGTGCTGATGTGTGACTACCAAGTTATTCTGGTCTAGTAGGAAGAGCAAGGCTGGAGGGGAATTTTGAGGATGAGGTGGATTGCATTTATGTCCATGCCAATTCACTGCCATGCACTGCATTTTCTTACACTACAAACTTCCAGGTTGGGGAGAAGGTACACTGGGCACTTGAAACTTCCTATCACTCCAAGCAGAGGACCATGCCTTCCACTTAATCTCACATGGTTAATAGCATTCCCTTTCATTTGTGCTGGACCACAACAACTTTGCATTCCCCTGCTGCATATCACATATGGACTTGTAGGATCAAGACCTCCCTGCTCACCAAAAAACAAACAACCCACGTTTTGTTCACAAAAATCTAATGTAGAACCCATTTTCCTCTACAAGCAGGATTGGACTTGTTTAATACATGAGAGAGGAAACCAAAGCTGTATGGACATCCAGATGTTCTCACGTCAGACCAAACTGTCTATATTTATTTCATAGACCAACTATCGGGTATAAAACATTACAATCCCTTTTGATGGATTAGTTCTTTATTATTAAGTGTTGTTTTGCTAAAAAGAGCATTTCTTATATAATCTAGCACGCCAGCATTACAACTCTCACTCCAATTCCACAGCCAGCTCTGAGTACTAAACATTTGTTCTCTAACTAATATTTCACACATTCAAACTTAAAATTAATTTTAAATGCAATCTGTCATCTGTATCTCAAAAATTCTCCCCCCACGTTCCAGTTCTCTGGAATGTGGGATTCCATACTCCTCCGCTGGCCAACCTTGTCACGATCAGTGTATTGAAATAAAAAACAATACCCGCCCTCAGTGTGAAATACAAGAGCATTTATTTATTCGTTTCTCACAAACATCACACACAAAAGCAAGATGTCTCACTCAGTAATGAGAAGGCAAGTTGGTGCAAACTTAAACAGAGCTGCTATTTGTCCTGCAGGATCTTGGTACTGATGTACTAACTGTAAACTAATACGAAGATATTACAGATAATAAATACTACAGATACTCTGCTGCTACACAATCACTGGCAGTGTAATATGCATTAAATTAGAAAGAAGGATCAATAGTAACTGAGAGATGCTTATTGTAATCCACTGAAAACACAGTAGCATGCCACTAACAAAAAGGCTGTAATAGAAAGAAGGGCAGTATCGCCTCCTTCCAAGGTCTGCCATTGAAGTTCACATTAGGAATCCATAAAACCATCAGAAATGCTCAATTTTAATGGCAAAGGCTTCAAACATCACCAAGCAAAAGAAATAAATAATACAATAAAACAGTATGACCGCAATGTGGGCCCATGAAAATTGTAGAATTTGTACAATTGTATTGACAGAACATAATGACTATGTTTAGCATTCACACTAGAATCAAATACTCTGCCCATTGGAAAAAAAGAGAATAGAAAAGGACGAAGCTCTCTAGATATGCTAGGACTGTATTTAAAAAGTCAAACGGAAACTTGGTTTTAAATAAAAGAACCAAAGTTGTAAGGTTCATAGGAGCACCAACTGCCAAATTTAGCAGCCCCCCGGGCACCCCATTGTGAGGTAGGGCATTTTACAGCTGGGGGATTGAGGCACAGAGAAATTAAGTGACTTAACCAAACCACACAGGAAGTCTGGAGTGGAACATGGAATTGAACTCAGGGCTATAGAGTCCCAGCCCAGCCCCCTAACCAATAGTCCATCCTTTCTCCTCAGCTAGTGCATCATTTGCTTTGCACAGAAAAAGCCAAAGATGAAGCAGTCAAATGCAGCAGCAGAAAGCCAAGCAGCCCATCAGTCACAGTGCATCTTCTCTACAAGGGACTCAGCCTGGCAAGCCAGACAATAAAACAAAACACTGCTGCCTTCAAAGAGAAAGAAAACGGCATTAGCTCCACAGTTAAGCCATATTTTGCCCTTCAAAGTACAGACAGAAAGATAATTAAGGTGACAATGAATATCAAAGCAGCAGAAGTTTAAAATGATGAAGCAAATGATATTTCATTTGGGGAAAAAATAATTCCTTGACAGCCACAAACATATATTGTACTTTTTTTCTTAAAAAATAAGAGACTTTGAAATGATAATGTCTGTAATGGTGCATATTACACTCATTACTTATTGGGCCTGATACCAAAACAGCCCTTTCACTGGGCCATCAATAGGTATGTTTGCTCAGATAAAAGCTTCACTTTAGCAAAGCAGTTTATCTGTCTTACAGTTTTATTGCTTAAAAGATGAATTATAAGATTAAATCCACCTTACAGCTAAGCCCTAGAGAGAGCCACATTATAAATATCTCATAAGAGGTTAGGGGTTTGGACATTAATAGTCAATATTAGAAATCTGAGACAGGCATTCCAAAAAGGCATTAACGGTAATGGAGCTTACATACACGCATCAAAGGAGATTGTTATGTTATGGTGCTAGTCAGCACTAAGTTATGGTGCTAGTCAGTTATGATACATATTTTTGTAAGAAAATGAATACTAACCAACTATTAAATATGAGTATGTTCTAAATCAAGGGTTCTCAAACTTCATTGTACCACGACCATCTTCTGAGAACAAAAATTACTACATGACCCCGGGAGAGAAGACTGAAGCCTGAACCCACCCAAGTCCCGCCATTGGGGCGGCGGGGGATGGGGGGCCGGGCGCAAAACCAAAGCCCAAGGGCTTTAGTCCCAGGTGGGGGGCCTGTAACCTGAGCTCCAAAACTCAGGGCCAGGCGGTGAGGTTCGGGCTTCGGCTTTTGGCCCTGGGTGGTCCAGCTCAGGCTTCAGCCTTGGGACCCAGCAAGTCTAACGCCAGCCCTGGCGACGCCATTAAAACAGGGTTGCAACCCACTTTGGGGTCCCGACCCATAGTTTTAGAACCGCTGTTCTAAATAATTTTCCTGAATACATACACTCAGTAGAAATAGAAAACAATTAGGTCCAAACAGCCTATGACAAATAAATCAAAATAAATTAAACCCCCATTCTGCAAAGGTTAACCATGTGTACAACTTTGCTTGTGTAAGTAATCTTGCTTAGGTCAATAGAAATACTTGTATCAGTAAATATATGCATATGCTTAAGTGCCTGAAGGATCAGAGAGCTAAAATTTACATTGGAACTAAAAGAATTAACAGGATGGAAGGTTAATTGTAAAGTTCACCATTTCTTTGACTGCAAACAGGGTAAGGTTCTATTCTCACTTTAGTTGTGCCGTGGACCCATTCTGTACTTGGGTAAGTCACTTGATCTGTTTCAGTTTCTCCATTTTAAAAATGGGGACAGCTCTACGTAACCTCAGAAGTCCCTCACACATATTTAATTAATCTTAAGGAAAGTTTAAGGGATCCTTAATGAAAGATGCTAATCCCCACTATGCCACCTTCTGCATCACATAATACTTTACAGATCACATAATTTCTGTGCAATTTTTAAAACTTCCACAGTCCAGCGCTGCACTTTTCAGTGTTCTCTATCTCCCTGACAGAAGCATGGAGCCTGAAGAGCTGAGCACAATTCTCTTGTGTGTTGCTAATACAGGATATGTGATTCTCCAGTATTTGCACAGTTTAAAGGAGTACTGCTACAATCAGGACTGGGATGCGGACGATGTGGAGCACGCTAACTGCACACTGACAGACATAGTGAAAAACAATGCCAGGTTGCTGCTGGCATTCATGGACCAGCGCCGCAATATGCAAGAAACTAGCACAGACTGGTGGGATTGCATCATAATGTAGCTTTGGGACAACAAGCAAGGACAGCAGAACTTTCAGATGTGCAATGCCACATTTCTTGGGCTGTGAGCTGAGCTTATCGTGGCCTCCTGCATAGTGGGAAAAGGACCAGGAGGAGCAGCAGGAAGTGCATGAGAACATGATGGGTTTGCTCAGGTAGCAAACCCAAATTTTGCAGGCCCATACAACA